TTTGAAGGCATGACTATTTCTTGTTCTTTTCTGGGCTGGTATCAAATACTGGCACGTCCACCCGTTTATTCGTCATTTTGTACATCATGCATAGCCTGGACATTTTTCGTCTGTCTTCCAGCGGCCCACACTCTAGGTTTCTTTTCATTTCCGTTACACTACGAGTAGCACACCTTTCATAGTTGTTCGTGCAAAATCTTGCGGCTTGGTTCTGTACCTTTTCCAGTTTATCTTTGTATTTCTTTGTATATAGATCTCATACTGTCGCGGCATATTCTAGGTTCGGTCTCACAAGCGACGTGTATGCAAGTGATTTTACCCTTGTTGGGCATGCCCACAGATTGCGCCTAACCACTCCCAATGTCTGTTTGGCCTTAGCAGTGATGTTGTTACCATCAAGTGAACTTCTTGTGTCGGGGATTACAGTTCGTTCAACACCGTTTCTCCTTCAGGAGCCGCGCCTTTCTCTCCAGAGAAATAATTCGATTATCTTTCCCTCCGTCTGCCTGGTGGATATCGTCTGACAAATCCGTATGTCTCCCCAGTGACAACGGCCTCCAAATTGGCTACTGGGGGAAGACCGCCGGAGTGTTCATGATAAATGGGCGGATTTGTCAAACGGTAACTTGCGGAACATTTCCCTGCCCTGTGCGATTCGTTTTCGGGACGCCTTGTTCACCGTGCCGACAGCTAGGCGTCTTCCCAAGGTTTTCTCCTTCAGACTATATTCAGGGGTCCTTAAGAATAACCTTGAATCGACCCTTCACTTATACATGGTCACGGAGAAGGTAGGTAGAGCTTTGAAGGCATGCAATGCCACACTTGTAATATATATTATTGAATTTTACGGTTGGCATCCGCGCGCGCATTGATTTTCGCCTGTTCTAAAAAAAATCACCTTCGAGACTCTGGCCTGGGTGCCATCCTCCGTAGTTCATGGTAGCTAGCGACAGTAAGGAGCCGGCGGTAACTACGGAGGACGGTACCCAGGCTGCTGAAGCTCAAGAACTCAGTACAGTACGTATTATATATAGTACACGCAGTGTTTAGTTTTAGATCATTATCAACCATCCGAAATTTTGATCCATCTTAACCAACATTGTGACGCAACAGTTTACTGCAGTAGTAGTACTACAAATGACAAACTGTCAGTAGTCAGACAACATTTGAAACACTTACCGCCATTGTTTTTGCAGCAATAACCGCAAGAGGGCGTCGATGAAGCCTCGACATGATTCAGAGGTCCATACTTTCGTCGCCTACTCTTATGTAGTAGTAGTATTCTCAGCAAGGCTATGGTGTTATATGCCATGGAACAATAGCAACATTTTGAGGGGTCGTGTGGCGTCTTCGGCCCAGACTCAAGAGGTCGAGGGTTCGAATCCTGCCCGATACCACCGATCTTGTGCCCTTGGGAATGGCACTTTACACGACTATCCTCACTTCACCAGGTGTAAATGAGTACCTAGCTTCGGCTGGGGACGTCCCTCGGATAGGACGTTGAATGGAGGTCCCGTGTTTGGGAGAGCCACACCCCACACACGTTAAAGAAACCACCGCACTTATCGAAAAGAGTATGGGACCTTCTCGGTGTGAGTTGTTCAAACCTTACAGTCTGGTCTCGGGGTTGACATCTTTGAAGAGGTGATAGTCAACTGTTATGTCAATCCTTCCACAAATGTGGTAAATCTTCATAAAATAAAATTAAAATCTTTTTTTCATGAGTGTGCAGAATTTTGGGCGACGCATCCTCGGTTTTCCCAAGAATGCACAAACTTAGCGATGGGGTCGTGGAACTCTAGTAATGGTATGTAACGAATTTTTGTTGTATTCTAAAACGCAGTCCATTCCAAACCAAGTTTCAGAAAATGGCGTTTAGAATGCGACAGCATCTCTTGTGTGACAAGGTGGTCTGTTAAGCAATATGGGGTGACTAAATCGGTGAGAGAAAATTGTTCATGAGTGCTAGCTGTGTCCCTTATCTTATGAGATCTATGCTAATTGTTACGATCAAAGGTAATGCCTACTTCCCGTGCAATTTGGCAGCGCGCCGCTAGTACTACTGTCTGGCACCTCAATCATGCATTAGGTCACACTGACTTAATCTTATGGATGACATCCTCTGTAGACCCCCCAAACTAGTGCCCACGGGCGAATTAAAAAAAATTTCCAGCGAAAAAATACTGCTAAACCACATAAATAAATACACAACTGGTATATTGTGACTTTGCGGTAGTACACGGCGACTTTTACGACAAACCGGCACATGCTGGCCTTTTGCGGCATTTGTGAATCTGCACTGTACTGAGGTCTTGAGTTCCGTGGAGCTTCGACAGCCTGGGTGCCGTCCTCTGTAGTTACCACCGGCTCCCTATTGTCACTAGCTACCATGGACTGCAGAGGATGGCACACAGGCCAGAGAGTCGGAGAAGGTGAATTTGCTTGAGAACAGGTGAAAATCAGTTGCCGCGCGGATGTCAGCCATAAAATTATATCAGTGTGTATTTACATGAGATGAAACAAGCCCCACACAGCACATGTTCACATGTTCCCCACTCAAAACATCAGAAACAAAAGTTTGTACTTGTTAATGATGTCTGGGGAATCCCCAGACATCATTATGAAGTACAAACTTTTGTTTCTGATGTTTTGAGTGATGAGGTCAAGGATTTAGCTAAACAGACGGACGGGTCGCGACCTTACTAGACACCAAGGCGCCGGAAAACCAAGGGCCTGTCTTCATCTGGAGGTGTTGAATTTATAACTTAGACCACACTAAACTAATCTTATGGATGACATGCACTGAAGACCTCAAGACTAGTGCGCGAAGGCAAATAAAAAAATACACGGAACTCAAGAACTCAGTGTACAGTGAGAGTACAGTGCCGACTCATAAATGCCGCAAAAGACCAGCATGTGCCGGTTTGTCGTAAAAGTAGCCATGTACTACCGCAAATTTACAACACACTAGCTTTGTATTTCTGTGGTTTAGCAGAATTTCTTTTGGCTGGATTTTTTTTATTCACCCCAGTTGGTGGGTCCTCAGAGGATGCCATCAGTGTGGTCTTACATGGTGCATGAAAGCATGTTTTTCGGGAAATCTCTTTCTCTACATAAAATCAGAGTTACTGTCGAGCATGAGAACAAATACCTGTCGTTTACATTACAGTATTGAGTGCATCTGTAACGTCCTTGCAATGGGATACAAAAGAAGTAATTGACCGTATACTCATCCCGTTCCAAGGACATAATATGAATACAAAAAACCACCGCAGTATGTCCAGTATTGGGTCCAATGGGGCTCGTTATAATAGATCACACATAAACGTTCCAATATAACTGTTACAACAAGGAGCCACTATCCGTTTTATTTTTGAAGATTTACCACATTTGTGGAAGGATTGACATAACAGGTGACTATCACCTCTTCAAGATGTCAAACCTGAGACCAGACTGTACCACTCACACCGGGAAGGTCCCCTACTCTTTTCGATAAGTGCGGTGGGTTCTTTAACGTGTGTGGGGTGTGGCTCTCGATCCCAAACACGGGACCTCCATATAACGTCCTATCCGAGGGACGTCCCTAACGGAAGCTAGGTACTTATTTCCACCTGAGTGAAGTGAGTACAGTCGTGTTAAGTGCCTTTCCCAAGGGCACAAGATCGGTGACATGGGTAGAAATCGAACCCGGGACCTCTTGGGTCTGAGCCGAACACCCTACGCCACGCGACCCCTTTACAATCCACAAAAAAGTTGTAAGACACATAACGAGAGTTATGTGAACAAACTCATGGTTGGGGCTGTTTTTATCAAAAATGTTCAAATGGCACAAACAAAACATGAAGATAACCATTTCAAAACACCCAAATCATCATTGTACACTTCGATGATTCTATTGACCATTCAACACAGCACATCATAAAATATTTACACGCATATGTTGATATCACACTGTTCTATTATAAGTTCCACTGCCTTTGTGTTGGGGTATCTATGGGAACAATTTTACAGTATAGATCAACTGTAGTACTGTGTTGGCTATTGTATAAGAGACTTAAGAGATTTATTTTCAATAGTATAGTCTTACCTATATTACATGATTGTCTTTGAAATGGTAACGATCGTCTTTTCAGTGAACCACTTGAAGTTTTGTGTTATATACTTTAGAAAATTAGAGCCCTTTCTGGATATATAAAAAACGTATATCTTATAACGACAGCGATAAAACATATGGGTTTATGAATTTTTCCACATATTCACATATAAGTTGTCTCTTGGACCTGTGTTTTTTAGGCCACACCGACTTAATTTTATGGATGACATCCTCTGAAGGCGAATAAAAAAATCCGGCCAAAAATAAAAATGCTATTAAACCACAGGAATACAAAGATGGTATTGTGAATTTACGGCAGTACATAGCGACGTATATGGCAAGTTCATGAGTGGTGGAGCTTCGGTAGCCTGGGTGCCCGGCTCCATATTGTCGCTAACTACCATGGACTATCCAGGCCTAGAGCCAGGCCAGAGCCTCGGTGGACGTGCTCTTTTTTTTTGAGGGCAGGCGAAAATAAATGCGCGCGCGGATGTCATCCATAAAATTAAGTCGGTGTGGCCTTATTTGGGCGATATGTATTTCTGTCGCCTCGATGGATTTCCGAGCATAATGCTTTCAGACAAATGACTGTGTGGAAGTATTGTCAGAGGAGCATCGAAGCGAAAACTTCCCTGTAGTGTGTCCTTGTATCTATGTACACATTCAACTAGAATAGATTCCCATCGGGTTATGTTACTTAGGTAAAGACAGAATGAACATTTGTTTTACGTTAAAAAGACGACTGACTGATGATCTGTTGAGTTGCTTCACGGTTTCCAGGTGTGAGGAACATTTGTTTTGTTAAGGTTTTTACCTTGTTAAGGCGTGTGGGTCAGATCTCGTGACTAGACAGTAATCCCTGTAAAAAGCTAACCGTTTTGAAACTACCATCTGTTGTTGTTCGCAGGCGAGGCTACGGGCAAGAGAGGGATGGCGAGGTGTGGCAATAGAAGACACTGAAGTACGTGTCTACTTTTGAAGACGAAGAATAAGAAGAAGAAGAGGGAAGATAAGCAAGATGAACCGGTCCAACATGAAGAGAAAGTCTTCGGCTAAGGGGAAGAACATCACCTTCAAGTGCCCGGATAAGGTAAATTCGATATGATAAGTATTATGATAAACATTTTCTCACAGTTTACCTACATTTTTTGTTGTTCTTATCCAGCATCGTGTATTTAGCTTTTTGTGGTGTGTTGTTATGTTGCCCCTTTACGATTGACAAACATCAATATACAAGCCGTTTTGTATTCAGTGATAGTTTCTTTTACCAAATTCCTATGTCTCCTAAACCGTTTGCATAGCCCTTTAATTTCTGAGGTGTAGAGTTTTCCATCATAAATTATGGTGACATATGTTCAATAAAGTCGCCTCTGTATTTTATACTTGTTAGTATAGTGTGATCCTTCTAGCTGTTCCAGGACAAGAAATATCTTGCTGCCTCTTTTATGAAGTCTTTTTGTTATCTCACATTTCCCGTATCTTTTATTTGTGTGGGCGTGTTTATTCGTAATGTATAATATATGTACGTTTAGTCATATGTCAGGGAAACATAACTCTCAGCGTAGAACCTGATATTTCCTATGGTAATAACCATAAGGCAGTAAGACATCGGCGAACCGATGCTTTGTGTACTTTGTGTAATCATCGAAATGGCCACTAAATGCCACTGTCACACATTCAGAACCTACCCCCGAACACCAGCCGACCAGACTTAGGTCACGCCCACCTTCCTATACGAAACGAATTCGAGTTAAATTCGATTCAAATGTGACTGCCAACCACGTCCCAACCTATTACCGAGCGCCAGTTAACTGTGACCGAACCTCTCTCCACAACCTCTGTTTTTTTAACGTTTTGAAACATTCGGCTGTTATAGCCGAACAGTAGGCAGCCCGGCCAAACTCCAGCCAACCATAGCCGACCTTGTTCTTGACCTACTCCTAACCAGGGTTGGGGGAGTTAAACCAGTGTTTGAGAGGCCATAGTCTTCTATCTTTGAATTCTACACCTTACCAAGGACATCTCCTGCACAGCAGTCGTCTTTCTCGATGTAAGACGGGCCTTCGATACAGTCTGGCACCAGGGGTTGACATACAAGCTGACCCGCTACGGTGTGGGAGGGCCCCTACTGCATTGGTTCGACAGCTACTTGACAGGAAGACAACAAAGAGTCGTCATAAACGGTGTCACCTCATCCTGGGGGAAAACAGCAGCAGGTGTCCCCCAAGGCAGCATACTCGGACCTCTGTTATTTCTCGTGTACTTAAACGATCTGATGAGTCTCCCGTGTAGGTCAGCGTTAAATTGCTTTGCTGATGACACATCTTTGTATAATTCAGCTAAGACATCTCAGGAAGTGGCAGTTTCAATCAATGCTGATTTACAACTGGTGTCAACTTGGTTTTCGGATTGGGGCCTTACACTCCACCCTGATAAGTGTAAGGTGGTCTGCGTCAAATCTGGCCGAAAAAACGCCCTGCTGCCGCCTATCTACTTACATGGGAAGTTAGTGGAGCAAGTGTCCTCATATAGCCACCTGGGTGTAACCATCCACCAGACTCTCACATGGACAGAACACGTACAAGTGACAACAAGCAAAAGTAGGAAAGTACTAGGTGTCCTGCGCAAGGTTATGGGCAAACTGGGTAGGCAAGCGCTGGAGACAGCATACTTTGCCCTAGTACGACCAAAGTTGGAGTACGCTGCAGCGCTCCTGGGAGACCTAAACAACACAGCAAGCAAGATGCTGGAACAGGTTCAATACCATGCCTGTTGTCTCGTCACAGGGGCGATGAAGGGTACACCTTACTCAAACCTACTGCAGGAGTTAGAATGGGATACTTTATCCTCTAGACGACAATACAACTCACTCACCATCATGTACAGGATGACGAAAGGCCTCGTACCTCCACATCTACAGTCGCTTACTCCACCAACAAGGGGCTCCCAGTTTACACGTATACAACTACGCAACAATACTCACCTTTGTGTTCCTCGCTGTCGGACTCAGGTTTATAAAACCAGCTTTATTCCACATACATCTTCACTTTGGAACCAGCTACCCCAGACAGTCAGAGACGCCAGCAACCTTGCTGCTTTCAAGAGAGCGAGTAAAAAGCACCTGTTGACCACGAGGCATCATCAGATGTACCGTACTCTAGGCTCAAGGCCGAACAACATACGCACTACCAGGTTACGCGTGGGCTGGTGCCAACTGAACAGTACACTATACAAGATGAAGATCAAGGGCAAAGCATGTGTCTGCGGTTCTTCTTCTGAATCAGTCCAGCACTACTTATTACACTGCCCCCTATACTCTGACCATCGCAGCAGACTTACTGCAGCTGTTGAACGACTTGTCCAACAACGTCCCACCGTTTCCCTCCTACTTCAAGGTTCACCAGACCATGACCCTATTATCAATAAGCAACTTTCAGATGCACTTCACACGTTTATAACATCTACAAGAAGATTTACTTCCAGCTGATCCTCTGCTTTTCCATATTGTACTAAGTTCTAGTTTTTTTATGGTATTTACATGCCTTAGCACCTTTCTAATCTTAGCTATTTTTGTATATAGATGTACATGATTCTTAGCTCTTTCTTGTTATTCAATTGTATTTGCTGTTTGACATGTATATTGTATGTATGTATGTATATTCTATGTATGTGGTCACGCCATCAGCTGATTAGCTGCCTTGTGTCCACATTGTATTGTATTCGTCGCAATTTCAATAAATAAATAAATAAATAAATAAATAAATAAATACCAAGGACATTATACTGTAATTCCTGATTTTTTCAAGGTACTGTTATGTTTTCACTGTCACTTCTGTATAGTTATCATTACTTTAAACAAAAAAATTCCTGGACCTTCTTATTCCCGCACCTGTCGCCACCGTGAATATATAGTTCTGTAAAAATGTCCACTTTTTTCAGACCGTGAATTTTTGCTACCGTGAACATAAAGAGAATTACAGTATCATGTCCTTCGCCCAACCTCCTTTTATAATTTCCCTTCTTCATAAAACTAGAGCCTCCGTGAGCCTTTTTTCCGTCTATAACTTTCCTTCCTCCCAAGTGTCCAAGTTTTTTAAAGTTGATAAACTACAATTCCTAGAGGCAAAATGTTGTTTTCACCCTCCAGCAGAATCCACTATATCCGGCCCATCTATTTCCGTCCCAAGGGGGATTATATTGTCACATTCCGTTACGTACATTCGAACCTGCCGGTCCGCCATTTTGACCCGCACAATTATTAGCCCGACCACATGATAGATCTGGTTACAGACTAGTCATCAATTATTCAAAAGCCATTAAATGAGCAGCTCTTTGTCATTTTGTTGCCTCTTTAGCGTTTTGATAGCCCGGAGGTCGCCTATTTTATTTGCATCACAAAGAAGGATGTAAAGACTTCTAAGAAAAGTATAATGCCTGGTCTTTTTGACGTTTACCGTTTTTTGTTTGTTTGTAGGGCTCGAAATCCCACTTGCATAAGTATGCAGGTTAGTGCAGGTAAAATTGTAGCTGTGTAGGTATTTCTGATGTCTACCAGCACCTAACCTGCACTGATCCATGTACTGGGTATATGCAGGTTTATATATGTGCTATATTTCTATTAGCTGTATTGACTGTTGCCACCTATGAAGCATAAAAGAAATAAGGGCAATGTTTTTGTAACGGCTTTTAGTATAATTCAACCATCTGAGTTGTGCAAAACTTGCCTGGTATAGGTAATTTTCAATGTTACCTGTACCGGTACTGGTTTGTAAATTTGCTATTGCATGTGTAGAAGAGACTATATTTTTGTACATTTTCCATCGTGATACTGTTGAAATATTAGTTTAAATCACTCTAGTGGGAGAAGATCACTTCGTCATAGCGTACATAGTACCTTCAATATCAATTCAATAACAATAACTCTATGATTCTGAATTCAAATTTTGTTATCCATCATTGATTTCTACTTAGATAATACCTTGACCCTATCAATTCAATCTGTACAATACTATAACGATTTTTTTTACTTGAGATCAAGGACATTATACCTTGTTGAGATCAAATTACGGAAAGAGGTATTGCAATTGAGCCATTTCAGTCTTCCATTCCCTTGCATATGTAACGTATCTGATCAGAAGTTGACAAGAAAGTACAGTAAAAAATGCGGTTCGAAATGCAAGAACGTTTTTGTGGTCCTGTTTCAAGATTGAGCTGCAGTTCCATTTTCTCAGTAGGGGGCGCTTCACAACATGTATGTATGCCCTGTAAGTTTAGTATCGCTAAATCTTACGCTATATGTCTTACTTTCCGGTATGAAGAAGTCTACAGTTCACAGGCTTTGCCTTGGCAGCCATGTCGTAGTGAGATAATAAATAATGTTTATCAGCTACTACAATCTTCATGCCCTTTCTAATGTCAACTTTCTATCGCATATGTTATGCTCACAGTACTTTAAAGTTGCGATACCAACACAAGAAAAAATATGTTCGTGACAAATAGATATGACCTACCATTCCATAACCTAGTTTTGAACTGTACTATTGTATCTCCTGCCGACATCTAAAGCCTTAAAGATAGAGAAGAAGGAAGGGGTACTTACCCAAGGCGCCGCTGCTAGCTTGAAAAAGACACGGAAACATTCAAGCACAGAATGACATGCTTTGTGCAGATACTAATGGCAAAAAGAGGTAATTCACAAGTAATGTACAGTTCAGGGAGTCGTTTCCTTAACCCATTCAGGCTCCTAGCATGGCTTGTGAAGTTTTGTAGTGGATACTTGACAAGAATCTGAAGCACCATCTTGGCTCACATTTTCCGCTAGCAAATGTTCCTGGGACTGTAAAGCGAACTGCCGTTAGGGTGTTGGGCCTGATACGAGTCTTTTTGAAGTGTGAGATGCTTAAAACTTAGTTGCTGTATATTATAAAAAAAGAACTTTATTTCACGACAATTGCACATGGTACAATGTATGGCAAACTACATAAAGAAAGTAAAAAACAATAATATGAATGTGTTGAATAAGACCTAATGTCGAATATAAAATAAGGGATAGCACAAGTCTTCGATAAAGTGTTACAATCGAGTGGGCTA